ATTTGTAAAATGAATTCTATTTACTGCAACAGTACAGGTAATGCTAAATAACCGATTCCATATTAATTAAAAGACAGTAATTTTATAAGGCTTCCTATTGCCTTCAAAATTGGAATAAATTTGCCAGTCAAAATCACTAATATTTTAATCAAAAGACTTGTATTCACAAATCCTGAGAAGTGCTTTTAAATCATAGAATGTGGCTGAAGAGGGAGATATGTACAATATATAGAAAGATAGATAAACAGATTGATCGATAGATATATAAATAAATAAACCAATAGATAACTAGGTACATAATAATATAATAATAAAACGTCACTTATAAAGCGCTTACAGGACCACCAAAGTCTACATGTACATGTACATGTACATAGACAGACAGAATGACAGATAGGCCGGCAGACAGACAGACAGACATACAGACAATCAGACAGACAGACAAATAGACAGACAAGACAGAGAGAAAGAGAGAGAGAGAGAGAGGGAGTACAATACATGACATACAAGTGCACATAGTGTGAGTGGGATAATGGGTTAGCCCTTTTTGTAGGAACCACTCCCTCAGTCAAATAATAGCTGGGTGGTGGTGGGGAGCAAAGAAAGAATTGCCACAGGTGACTGATACACTGTACATTGTGCTTTATGAAATAGAAGGGTAAGGCACCAAACAGTCTATGAGGTAATATGTTCAGCTGAGGAGTGAGAGTAATGATAGAAATGATAATAAGCTGTTCTTGTATTGCAGCCTTATCATATAAAGTCCCTATGCCTGCCCTTCCAAAGAAGTTTGGACATGAGTACCCGGGCTTCAGACTTTCAGCTCCGGCAGCTATCATCAGCGCACAGATTATTTCAAGGAATAAACCCTGCCTGGTTACACAATTAAAACCTTGGTGGAGAGTGGCAAATGTGGATTGTCACTCTTCTCAAAAGACATGAGTACTAGGCTGGGATTTGAACCCTCGACCCTTAGATTGATGGTCAAGTGAATGAACCACTGTACCACTAAAAGTGGTAGATTTACCCTAAAAACTTGGTGAATTTATTTTCTATTACCAGGACTGAAGATTATCTGTGTGTCTAGATGTCTTTGAATGAGTTGATGTCAATGAGTTGGCCTGAAAAAGACTCACATAGTTTTCAATACGTAGGACCACCTGGGCGTGAACAATAACAATCGCTTAAAATGTATCAAAATGCTCTACATTTTAAGCAAAAAATTTCAAATCACACATGGTTTGCAAGTAAGGTTTCCCTCATTTCAGAGTCTGTTGCAGGGATTCCAGAGTCCCGAGATAATAAAGCAATTTTGCTCTAGGAATGTTAAAAAAAATCTCTAGTGATATAGAATTAGAATTCATTTAATTTGATGGAAATAACTGCAACAAAATACAACTTTTACAGCATCAAATCTCAATAAGCCTTTTCCACTTATACTGGACCCTGAGACTTGATCAAGTTATTGTCCGGTCCTCAACCATGCGTTTTTTTGTACAAACTTTCTGTATGTACAATAGGAACAAAATCAAAGCAATATAGGAACAAATTAAGTTGTTGTTGTATAGCTATGCAATTTTTTGTATACATGTAGGCATGCAATTAATATCTTAATTCTGAAATCAGAGTACTGGTAGGTCGCAAAATACAAAGTAGAGCAACTTTTTTCTTAGACCAATTAATACAGTGAATACACTTACTATGAAGAAGCCGACATATCACTGGTCAGTACCAGTACCGCATTCACTGCAGGTAGTGAACAGTTAAAGGATAATGAGGATGTTTTTCCCTTGATTGTGGTGATATGGCCTGTTTTCCAGGAAACCCTTTGAGAGAACAAGCCGCAAGTCAGAGCACACTGTGACTCAGTGTTATTTTAAAGGGGGTGCTTACTGGGCTTTGCAGGGTTTTCTCAACGATTTCCTTGCACCTGCACGATGCATAGGGATATTCTGTGAAAGAGCTGCCTGTGAACTGTAGACCAGCTGGCCAAATATTGTGTAACGTAACTCACTCTTTGCACGTATATGTACAGGCCATATGATCCAGTTGATAGAGTCATAGAAGTCAAATTTTCGAAATATGATATTATCATAATAGGAATGACAATGATATAAATTTATTAAGTGCAGAGCTTCATACACTTTGCACATATATTTTTACTGTGCTGAAAAAGTTCCTGATGTGCTTAAAAACTACAACATAAAGTCAAATGAAAAGATGTGCTTTTAGTTTTGATTTCAAAGTACTGGTACTTAACGATGGGGATTTCCTAACTACTGGGAAGTTATTCCATAGTTTGGGGTGTGCGCATGGAAATGTTCAATCTCCCAATGTTAGTTTTGTTTTGTATGATGGGGTCTGCAATAAGAGAGTATGGGTTGCTTTATGGGACAATTGGATCAATCATCTCATAGGATCTGAACAAAGATGTAAAATTCATGGCCATAATGGCTGCAGATTCATGTAGTGAAGATAGACTTGATATTGTGTAAAAGACGTGTCCAATGTCTAAATGGATGCACTGAGGAGACTGACATCTGGAGTTCAGGACAAGTTTGTGAAGTAACCTATATTCTCTTGGGGAGAAACCGGAGTGGTCACTTGTCCAACTAAATGCATGACAAACATCGGCCTACTTTTGTTCCCCTTCGCTTTACAGTTCCAATACATGAGAAGGCAACAAGACTTGCGTCTTATATGATAATTTATGGTTACAAAACTGCTGTAGAAAGGGTGCATGGAAGGACTGCCCCCAAAATCTAGATTCTAGCTGATGCAGAGTGGCTGGATAAGCACCATGGGAATTGTGTAGTAGTAGTAAACAAAACTTTAGGAAGAAGTGCATCCTGTTTTTCATTACAGGCCCTAAGGTAACTTAATTCATTCAATGCTTAGTCCTATTTTGCCAGGATGGTCGACAAGTCGTCTCTTTCCTCTTCTTGTATACTGAAGATTGCCAAGCGGTCTCTCTCTCATTGTGGAATGTACACCATCCCTTTAACATCCAGTACAAAGGATAAATCCTGTCGCCGTGAGTTTCGGAGAAAGACTGTGCTTTCAGGATGTCATGTGCTCATGTTTTCAAGGGAAACGGCCATCAGACATTGCCCGCAGTCATTGTTTCTTGTTACCCCTAGCAACCACAGCTCCGCCACAGACTCGGAGAGAGGGAGAGGAAACTGACGGCTCTTGTAGCTTTCTGTATTCAAGAGAGCAGTATGCGGCCAAACCAGGCCATGAATCATGTTAGTGACGCTACTCCTAACCAGTCCTAACCTTCTTTCCGCTAAGGTTCATGTACGCTAAACACGTAGTAGGCCTTAGCGCAAGGCATAGGACTAGTCTGCGGAAATAGACCCCTTACCAGGAACTTTCATTGGTCCTGGCCTAAATCCGCCTCCAGGGTTGGTCAAAGTTCTTTGAACTACCTCACCTTTCCAAGATATATAGTTACCTGTAACATAATCAGTCTTTGGCTATATCCTGAATGCATAGTTTGGATATTCTGAGAATGGTTAAATTTTGGGAAGAAAGATAAAGCCTGCCCCCAAAAGACTAGATAATTACTTTTAATAGTAATGTACATTCACTGGCATCCAGTATTCGGCTATTCGCATATTAAAAAAGGTGTCTCTATTTTCAGACTACCAGTAGTCGTTGTAAAAGCAGACGTAACAAACAGTCACTCAACTGGGACAGGCTTACACTGTATAGTCTTCTGGTCTAGGCACAATTTAATTTGAAAATCTCTTGAACTCTTAAAAAAATAATCTTCATTCAGACTTATTGATTGGCACATGTACAGCTGAAAAGTCAAGTTATTTGGAATGCAATAAAATAGGTATGTGTCACTACTTTCATCAACAGCTTAATTGCTAATGTAAATTGTTACATTGTTCATTTTTAAAAGGAAGCAAGTGTTCTTTATGTGTTTTTAGATTGTTTATTGCAAGCTCTGTGCTTTGTGTGTCTCTTTTTTATTTTAGGGGGGGGGGTCTTGTAAAACAAGATAATGTTTCTTGATTTTCTAGAGGTTTACTCTAGAAAATCAAGAAACATCTTGTGTACATGTTTTTTGTCAAAGTAAAGGTAGTGGATTATTGTACACTTCTTTTATCCACGTTCCTTTATCCATTGTGCTTTATTTATAGATTTCTTATATTCCATTTTTTTTCCTCACTCATCTGCTATTTCTATGGATATTCCTGACCTTGTACCAATTCATATTTACATACTTTTTGTCTGATCATACCGCACTTGAACTGAAGGTCTCTTTCTACATTTTGTTTCTTTTGTTCAGAGTAATATGTTTAATGTTTAAATCCTCCGCATATGACGTCACTTATTACCTTGTGGTATTTCAAGACAAGTATCAGTTGGTTTTGTTTTCTAGCTGAAGATTTGTCAATGAACCAAATGTAATATAGAAAGACTCAAGCCGTCAAGCGAGTCCTTCAAAGAGTAATGACATTCTAAATAATGCAATATATAACATAAGATGCCTACTCTTTCAAAGAGACTTCATGTAACACTTATTCACTGTTGATTGTTCAGACAGGCCTCTGACAAGGCTTATTATATATTTAAAATCAGCCAGCGTTGGAACAATAAAATATGCTTGGATTTATAGATCAATGTTGTGCCATGAAATTGGTGAGATCTAGATGCGCTGCATCCTCATGTTTTTATGTGTATTGTTGCTTCACTTTTTTCAGCATTTTCTCAAGCAAGGTTCATCAATTATTCAAATGATTCAATGTTTGTGGGTTCAACTTAAGCAGTTGTGTGACTGTAGGAGGAGAGTCGATTCTGGTATTGTTCTATTCTTTACACACCTTTATACCATTAAACATGTATTGTGTGTTTGGAGGCAGAAGTATGTACCGGTAACTTGTATGCTTTAACACCCTTCTGGGTATGAAAAGATGAATTATCCTTGTCAAGAAAGCACGGTGTTTTGAACCTCTTTTTCCTTTTTCTGTATTGTTCTGAAACAGATTACCCACCGATTCCAGGGGAAATCAGGCTAAAATGGCGGCCAGATCACAGGACCCTTCAGCAGTCTGATAACCAACTTGTCTTGGGCCAGAGGAAGTCTCACAGGTATATATATGCTTCAATTTACTACTTATTTATATTGTATCATTTGATACATGTACCTCGCATTGCTTTACCCATTGTTGTTCTTATCCATACCATATAACTGGAAATATATGATCAAAGCTGGAAAAGCATTAGGTGTGGCAATATCTCAAGCATATTGTTATACCTCTGTATGCTTCTATATTAATTACAATTGCAAATGTATAATGATCGTCATCTAGTTTTTATTACGGTCATGGTCATACTGTGTAAACTGTTGAACCGTGCAGAAATAAATGAATAAATAATAATAATATATATATATTTATTTTTGTTATTCATGAAGAATTTTTAAGATAGGGAAAGGATCTGAATTATTTCTGTTCCCGGAAAGATATTGTCAGAAACACCTACCTAGGTATAATTTCCTCTTGTTTGCCCAGTTTTATGATACATCATGTTTTATGAATGTAGGAAATAATTTTTAGGCAAAGCAGATGGGTGGACTTAAATAAAGGGGGAAAAGCAGATCATATAGGTACTGTAAGTGATTGAAAGTAATATATTTGTTTAATTAAATAACATACTGTACATAACATATCCAACACTATCGGAAACATCTCAGTAGGGGCTCCAGACACACAACATACATGTATTGGTAATATTAGCTTTTTATTCATTATATCTACTACCCTTATTTTTCACGTTCATAAATTAGTTTGATTTGTTCAAAGTACAGTATTGTATTCTCTGGTATTCATGCTTTCTCTCTAAGTATCATATGCTCAGTACCCTTCTAATTGATGATGCCATTAATCTATATTGTATCCATATGGATAAGAGCTCTTTCAATTTTAACAGTACATATTTTACATGTAGGACTAAGGGGTATGTAAAAAAAAGAAGTACAGTTTCCTCACTTCATATGTTGGGATACTGTTCTTTTTAATAGAAAATAACCTTAAAAAGTTATCTTTGCTACATATATATTTTCAAGCAATCACATGTTTTGTGTGGATATTTTATCAATTATCCCAAATAAATTAATTACGTAACGTTATAAAAAAATCTCACAACTGTGAATATCTTTCAGGTAAAATTGTTTCCTAATATAAAAATTACAAATTTTGGGAATTCCCAAAGGAAGTTAGTGTATTCTAAAGGGGAAAAAGGTATCTCGTTAGACAGATGACCTGATATTATAAATGATCTCCTTACATATTAAAGCCAATTGAAATTATTCCTAGAGTATCCCTACTAGGGTAAAACCTGCACTAGATAGAACCTGTATAGAAGCTATAGGACAACACCCTTTTGTTTCCCTCATGAACACTGTTTCCCATTTAACAAATTAAAATAGGTATGAAATAAACCTGTAAAGACCAGTTTTCTTTTCTCCCTCAAGAGGTCTTTGTAAAGCCTATAAAAAGGTTTCACCATTTGTACACAAGGGAATCACTTGCAACGCTTGCATCATGAAATTTGTGATTATCCAATGTTTTATAATCTGCAGATCAGTAAGTTAATAATCATGCATGCATTAGGGATATTAAAAATGAGAGTTAATGGAAGCCTTTCTTTTGGCAAGGCTATACATCATTGTAAATATATCATTAATTACTTTAGTGCAGTCATGTTTGAAATTGGCCTCCATCAAATAAATTGTATTTCTACAAGGGATCCAGGTATTGCTTCTGCCCTCATAAATGAGTCGCCAATTTTGCGGCATTTTCATCATCTGCTTAATGCCAAAATCATGTCTGTCTCTAATCATGTGTATTTTATATCTTGATCGTGTGGTTGGCCACATGTTAACCATTTGTTGTGTCCCCCCTTTTGTCATAATAGGAGCGGCCCAAAGAACAGACATTTGTCATCTATAAACCCTGCTCAGTAGGACCATATACATACATACCACTCTCGCTTAGGGGAAGACCCAGCATCTTACTGCCTGAGGGACTAGGCAAACTGCATTGTAGGCTCTTTGTCTGGTTTCAAATAACCACAACACAAGGTATGATAAGTCATTATGTGCAGACAATAGAACAGTTTATTATATGCAGTCATTCACGTTGATGAAAATTAATCTGAGAATACATGAAAAACTACACTCTTGTATAACAATAACTCATGTTAAAGTATGTGCAATATGTCTTGCTATTTCGTGCATATCTCTCGGGTCTTTGAGTTCATATTTTGTTCAAGAAGTGAAGAATGTAGCAAAATGTTAGATATTGAGGTAAGAACGTGATTGATTATAGAGCAATTTTCTGTAAGCCTCCCTCTACAATGCTTAATCACAAGTTATATTCTATTGAGGAAACTTGTGTTGAAATGTACCCCATGGATAAGAACGTGCATGTAGATATTTGTATGTTTGGGAAATTATCAAACGATATAGCACCAATCCTCATTTTCACAAATCTGGGTGAGAAATTATACTAGGAATCAATATTATATTTGCCTTTAAAAAAAAATTGCTTTTTTTATCCTTCTTAATACTCTTCATTTATTATGTTTATATTCCTGTGCATGCTTTTTAGCTTCTTCGTCATTTAAAACGAAATAGTTTGTTTAAAGACGTTTCAGCAATATTTGCTCCAGGGCTCCGCCATGATTTAATATGATTGTTTTTCAGGTCACATGGCCTAGCTCGCATTCTCATCCAACATGAAAGGATAATAATGACTGCCTAACTGGTTTGATCTATCTGTCATGTGATCAGAAGTCAAAATGCTTTATACCCTTGGGGCTTTGAAATCCTTCCAGGCCCCTTAAGCTAGGAAACCAAAATAATTCAGGCTTCCAAGAAACCGGGATGATTTCCTTTCAGTCCGCGATTAGCTCAATTATGGAAACGTACGCTGATAAAAATTGCTTTGATCAGCTAGCTTGGGCTGCCGTATTGGGAAGGACATTGACATTGTTTTTTTTATCATTTCTTTATGTTAATACATTATTTTAAAATATTGTTATTCAGATATCATGATTTAAGCTCCCATTTGTAGCTTCTACTCACAATATCCGTCACATTTTTTCTTGCATGTGTTTCACCTGTATTTCCTTTTAGTTCAAGATTAACCCAATCATATAAATATATACTGAGAAAGTGGTAAGATCAGCTAGCCTGGGCTGTCATATCAGCGACTGCATTGATGGCAGGCATAAAAATGATGCAGTTATTTACTTTGAGCTTATCATTTCTATAGAGATTTTTTTTTAAATGTCAAGACATTATTGTAGAATATTATGATTCAAAAATGATGATTTAAGCTCCCAGTTATAACCTTCTGCTCTATTAGATTGATAGGAAAGATCCTCAAAATCTATTTGATAAAGGTTTTTACATCCAATACCCTTTATAAATATAACATATGCGTCCTACTTACGTGACTCAAATAGGTGTTGACATTCATTTTTCTTTGACAGAGCAATTTTCTCTCCTGCCTCTGCAGAAGATATAATCAAATATTAGCATGCTTATGTATGGCCGCTGCCTTGTAAATGTACAGCAATTTGTTTTTGAAGTGTGCTAGTAATGGGATAATTTGGGTGATTCTGTGTGGGAGGCTAACAGACCAAGAGAGGAGTATGATGAGAGAATAAATCAAAGACGAAACAAGCCGGAGACTGAGTGTAGCATTGTAAATCAGGAATGACAGTCATGTAAACCAAGCCCATTTCTTGTTCTGCAGTCGGCACAGTCTTGCACGCCCACAGATAAAGCATCCCCTTTATTTCTGAGAATTCTAAGTATTCTTGGCCTGTGGATGGAGCTGTCTGGCCCGATCTCAATCAAACTCCTATTCTTCAGACATCACAGGTCCCCAGAAAATCAATTTAGCTCGACTTTCAACGAAAATGCAGTCTCGAAACGACACCTTCAGCCCTTTGTCTTAGTTTGTATGGTGCTACAAAATTGAAATGTAAAACTTTTCTTTACTTGTGTATGATCGGAAAAAAGGGAATCACATTCTCTCTTTTTTTTTTATAACAACATTTTCCAGTGCCACTTTCAGACCACATTATATAGTATTCTTATCATAAATCTCTTTTCCTTCTTGACATCTTCTCATTAATCTGAACAAGATGCTGGTCAGTTGTGTATCTTCTCTAAAAAAACCTTTCCTCTCCTAAAAAAAAAGTATAAATTATATATTTAAACCCCTAAAGACATACCAGTAGTTGAAGTTTGATTGACTATATCTCTCTTGTAACGGCATAGAGCCATATCGATCAAACTTGAGCTTCCAAACTTTTTTGAGGAGTTAATATATATATATATAATTTATATGTTTGAGTTTACTTGAGTGTACTAGTACTATTTTGATTGATAAGTTGTCATTGCTGAACTAATGAACTTTCCGAGACCTGGAGATTGATGAACACACACATTTTCAATTCGTTGAAGCCCCTTCATATCTTGGGTTTCACATTGAATCAGAAACTATGTGGTTTGATGTCTGAAGAATATATTGTAAATACCGTACATTCACAGAATGATATCGTATAATAGCAGTCAACCTCTAGGTTTCGTTATATATTGTTTTCTTTCATGATTGGTTATAGTTTCAGAAAGTTTGATCGAGAGGTATTTTGTGGCATTTATTTCTTGGCTTCTTCATTTCTTGGAAGAGATACATTTGTTTCTGTTTTGAGATTCTGAGGGTCGAGATCTTTGGAAATCGAATGTGGGAAAAACCCACGACCTTGTAGCAGAGATGCATGAAAGGCCATGTATCATGGCATAACATAACTCATCAGATGTTCATTAATTTGAAATATCCCAAGAGGTAAAACTCAAATTTGTTATTGTGGATTTTTTTTTCTTCTGAATTTTAGGCTGTGCTGTCTTTATTATCAGAACCGGCTAATGATAATTCATTTAATACAGTGTTATATGTAGAGTATACTTGGATTGAAACTCAATGGCAATCTACATGTATTTATTGGAAATAAAAACGCAATGGTTTTATTTAAAGACACTTGCTTTAGTGCTTATTTTGCTTTGTCATTTCAGATTAGCAACTACAATATCTTCTCATCAGCCAGCCAGCCAGCCAGCCAGGGTTAGTGATTAATCTGCAATGATGGTCAAGCCGGTCAAGAAGAGGGCCATCCAGGAATGGAAGCTCACAGAAGCCATTCAGGTACAAAAGAAATTTTAAAAAACACAATTATAATAATAATAATAATAATAATAATTCAAGGGCTAGTGTGGGATATGTGGTCATGTTGTGTCTCATATGTTATCAAGTGTCATGGGACAATATAAGCTGAAGTAATCTTGAAGTGCAAATTTCCTGTATATTTGTTATACTCTAGAATATTTGATTTGATGGAGTTGAGTACGTACGTAAAAAGGGGAAGAAAGAGAAGAAGAAGTAGTGGAGAACAAAATTATTTAGTAAAAGAAATGAATTTAACGGAAATGACAAAAATATCTATAAATGGAAGGAGAAAGGAAGAGTAAAGTCACCAGGTGACATTGACGCCCTCGTCTTTTGTCGTCGTAAGACGGAATCATTTTTCTGCCCAAGATGTCATTGATAGTAAAGAAGTCGGGTTTCACCGCCCACGTGCCCTCGTCTCATTCATGTTTTTATAAATACCAAAAAGCTTGTTTTTCTCTCTCAAATCAAGATGGGCTCATGACGTGAGATGTTTGATACCATACAACTCTGTTTTATCACGCTCAGCAATTCTAAAATAATAATCATGATTAATTGCCTTATAAATCTGTAGACGTGATCTATATATTTTGAAACTCGGGGGCACTGAAAAGGGTCAGAGGAAATAATATTTGTTTTGCATTTATTGAAATCAACTTGATGCGGGTGTGGAGTTTCCATTTGATATCGACCAATCCTTGATTGTTCCGTCTCGTATTCAATTCTGTACTTGAATTATATCAGTATTTGACTTAGCATTGAGCTAAGCTAAGTCAAATGTCTCAAGTCTTATTCTGATCACATCAAAGTATTTTACTTTAGTAAGCCAATTTTGAGGCAAAATACTTACTGATGGTCATTTTGACGTCACATGGCCAATACAAAAGTATGTGCAGTTTATAATGACTGTGAATACATGACAACCAGATACCCCACAATCAAAGCCTCCAAAAATAATTGGTTTAACTCTGATAGAGAGCCTTTTAAACTTAGGATAAAAGCAACCAAAAGCTTCAACTGAATACCAAATTTTGCTAAAATATTTCATCTAAGCTGAAAACTCAGTAAAATTCTCATATTTCTGATATAATTGTCATGTATTTTGAAGGTTTGATAATAATGCAAGAAATATTCTGTAGTTTCTTTGAAAGAAAAAAAAATTGTTTAGAGATTATACGGTGTACAGGTATGAAAGCAAATGGTAACCAGGATAGGAAGACCCAGACACCTGTTATATCAACATCCATACCTCCTATCTAGGCTTCCTATCTAGCCTGGTGGATAGAAATTTATCAATTGTCTATGTCTGCATACCATCATACACGTTAAATGAGGTGACATATACTTGATTTGAGGGTGAGGGAGGGGGGGGGGGCTCTCTAACACTGCACGAAGAAAGCAACAAATGAAGCCTGCCTCGAGTGGCCTTGGAATAGTCGGTGTAATGGGTGATCATTTTTTCGCTAAAAATCCACACAAAATCTGTACAGAATTCAAGAGTATTTCATATGGAACAAAACAATCAATCTTTTTTTCCTTCATTTTCAGGCAGAACTAATGTCAAATTGAATTTATTCATTCATCTGTAATAATAACAGAAATTATTCATTCATTGGTATTTTCATTTCTTTCAAAGGCTATTTCACATAAGAATTCTGCATAACAATTCTACATAACAATGCATGTACAGTGGTACAATACAATGAGTGATTTCAAGTTGGGTGTTTAAGGCAGCCTAAACACCGAAATGGAAATCAGCTGGTGTTAAGGCTTTGACCTCTGAATATTGTCAAGTTCCGGTAGCTAGTGTTATCGATTTTGCAAAATTGTCGTCTGCTGAACCGACCTTTGTGGCTGCATGGTGTTAATATTTTATGTACAAATGTCCTATTCACTAACACTAGCCCCTAGGGATTAAGCAAATGTTGATTTCCAGTTCGGTGTTAGTGTTGTACCCGCACACAGTCAACGCACGAACGACGCCAATTTATTGTCTGACGATCAAATAAAAATATGTGAAACAGGTAATTCATATATTCTTTCGTGTAAAATTAGTTATTTTCTAAGACCAGAGAAATAGGTGTAAATTTATTCTGTACTTTTCATGATATCTTTGGTTTTGGTGAACTATTTTTAAATCATTGTCGTAAAATCAAGTATGTGGTGACGTCACGGCTGGTGTTAAGCTATCGATTTTGATATCGGTATCGGGCTCTTAATTTCATCAGCAAATTCTCCGCTCGATTTAAGAGCTCTTGACTGCTCTAAACACTAACACTAAGACTAACACCAAACTTGAAATCACCCAATGTGTACAGAGTATCACAGGGAGATACAAAAAGGTTTAAAGGAAGTTACAAAACCAAAGTATGTAATGAAAATAATGCAAGGAATGGAACTTCAACTCATCCTGACCCCTTCCAATATGATATGAAAAAACAAATATTGATGTTAATTTATGTTTGATTCAGATCACATCCCTCCCCCCCCCCTCCAACTCTAACATCTTGCTGTAGAACTGTTGAATAGAGGTGTAACATTGGTTACAAAAACACTCTACCAGCATATGTGACACCTGTTTTTGTATGAGAAGATAGAAGAAGCGGGTAACATATAATGGAGAGCTTTTACCACTGGATTAAAAGACACAGTCAAAATTCAGGTTTCGAATATGGAGAAAAAAAGGTTATTGAAAGCGGAGGCTTCATTGAGCATATGCATGCGTTATATGAAATTCAGTATAAATACATGCATTTGTCATCTGAAGTAGTTGGAATGGCTATATTATTTTTGTTATTGATATTATCCCCTTCTCTCTTGTGACTCTTTTAAAGGTAAGCTTGAGTTCTGGTAATGATAGAAAAAAAAATTCTCACAGAATCCAACAAAACTTACACTGAATGTTCAAGGTTACAAATACTATTTTTTATAATTATTTTTAAAAATATTTAAAAAGATACAAAATTGTTCCCTTTCAGTGTTGCACAAAAGCAAATTAAAAACCTCATTTTCAACTCCCCTCCAAATTACAGGTCAACAGGGGTCAAATTTGCGGCAGTTACAATGATGACATGTCATGTGGACCCTATCGGCTCGCCTATATAGCTGAGGTGATGAGCCATGCTTCATTCATGCAAAGTCGTTGTGAATATGCGTACTCCACATACGATGATGTCATCAATTCGATAGCTAGTTTTTAAGTCCACAACTTCCAATTTTCTAAGCCTTCGATTTCAGGTTTTCTGAGAGCTGTTACTCCTCTGACAGACGATAACATAGCAAAAGCATAAATTTAAAATTTTCGTTATATTTTTGGTGCGCACATCATTCAGGCAAATCATTCTTACCAAGTACCCATTTCTAACATCTGGATGGAGAGAGGCATATTTAATTTTCAAAAGTGTACATGTATTAAAGAAGATTCCCCCCCCCCCCCCTCCACACACACCCGCTCAAAAAAAAAACTTTACAGGCTCGTTTAGATATGACAAGGCAAAACAAAAACGCAGCAGTGTTTTATGATGACAGAGTTCAGTGAATACCTGAATGTCCTTTGTGGCATGTAATTGTCATTCATTTACACTTTAAAAAACTGCAGCGGCTTTGTTACATGCAGGGATTTACAGCACCATATCTGGACAAGCCTTTAGTGTTAGACCATGATACATTTGAACCACATGGTAGTACATACCATCACATTTTACAAACCGGGTTGATGTGGATTCAACTTTTTGCCTTTAGAGCACATGGAGGTTACATTTATATGTATATTTTGAGTGGTGGGATGATTGACTTGATTTTTGTACCTTCTATTTCAGAACTCCTTTATTTGTGAAGCGAACAGTTTTACTTCATGTTTGGGGGAAAAGCTTAAGATATAATAATGATTTATTTTATAAATGTAATGTTTCCTGGGAGAAATTTCAATCATTTAAACATATTTGTGGCTTACACCCAGTAAATAAGATCGATTGATCGATCTGTAATTGAAAAACAAGTCAGAAAAAATCTTGGAACCAGCAGGACATGAACCTGCCATCTACTGCTTGCTGGGAGCGACTCTACCACCAGGCCATCACTGGTTCATAGCACAGTCACAATGAACTAGAAACAAATACCCTAGCTCTCCTGATTCATTCTGACTTATTAATATTTATTAGTCTGCCATAGGACAATAACTTGTTTCCAAGATTCCATGGTTCCAAGATTTTTTCTGACTTGTTTTTCAATTACAGATCGACTAATCGATCTTATTTACTGGGTGTAAGCCACAAATATGTTAAAATGATAATGATATAATATTTAAATAGCTTGTACTGTTATTACCTGCAACCTTGTTAGCAGAAGCCTTTGTTTTTGAGCTTCTTAATTCATAGGTTTGTTAATTCTGTACATTTTGTATCTTCCTATACAGCCTAAAGAGAAGGTACCAGAGCCCACCCCTAAAGCTCTAATGAACCATATAGAGTACCCTCGAGTATCCCAGGCAAATCTCCTGACCCAGGCCCAGGCATCAGTCATGCACCATAGCCACCCCTTTCACATCCCACCGCCCGGTGTCATGATCCCCGGAGACCCTCGTGCAGCTATGCGCAACCATTACGTAGAGCCCATGTACATCCATCCCCAGTCCATCCCTAGATCGACCGGACCACCCAATGTCATCATACGCCCACCCGAGAGGCAGAGTCACCCGCGGATGATCAACCCATCAGACATCACGGGCTTGCCCGGTCGCGGGGCCAAGCGTCCACAGATGCCCCAGGACATGGCTGCAGTGGAGGCCAAAGCAAGCCGGAAGCGACGGAAGCCGGAGGGCACCACTGAATTCGTCATGAGTCCGTTTCTGAACGGCAGCGTTAACGGGAGCGTGCATATCAACGAGAAGGTGCCCCCGATTCAACCGATTATCCTCGACTTTGAGGTGCCCTTGCCCCCTTTATCTCCTCACCCTGATGAGAGGATGGCAGGACCAAGAGGAGACGGCGGCGGTGGGGAAAGGAAGGTGGAATCACATGGTGCTCAGGTTAGTATCTTAACCTAATCGGTGACCATTGGTCCCCCATGATCCTCTTTTTCTTATGTTAATTGAGAGCTTAGTTGATGAGATAGCCACCTGTCAAACCACGCTGAGTGGTCTAATCCCTCCTGGCCAAACTAGTACAGCCGGCCTTTAAACATTCTCAGAAATTGTAATTTAATAATACCTTCTGATATACTTTCTCTGCTCTGTCTTCCGTTATTTGATTTCATGAGCAATACTCATCACCTTCAGGTATCATTTTATTGTTACCATTAGTTATCATTGAATGTTTGGAAGTTTTGTTTGATTCTGCAAGATATTATTTTTTATTATTACCAGAACTGAAGATTATCTTTAGTCAGGCCGATATTTTGTTTTGCATCGGTCACACATGTAGCAAGACTCAATATTAACTGCTTCTTTTATTTGATTGATTTGTGCAGGCAATGTCCCCTGTCCACTCTCCTGCCAGAGAGGATGACCACAGACATCCAAGACATGCAGGAGGAGCAGATCGCCATTCATCCAAGTCAGGTAGTGGTAACTCAACAAAGAACTCTCTCTTCAAAAAACCAGACATTAACCATTACAAGTCCAGCACACAAACGGGAGGAACACGCTGCTTCATCTGCCAAAACTCAATCATTCCCAATACAAAGGACTATCCCGTTGCACCCAGCGGTCTTGTTATATGCACAAAGTGCCGCGTACTCGCCAAGTCTGGGAGTCCTGTGGCCGTCGGTCCACCACCAAAAATTCAAATACCTGGTAGGAGTAGTCATTCGCGGTCTCAACCTCAGCAGAGGATACCTCGTTCACCGGTAGCTAAATCCCCCGCCGCTAGCCTTACTCTCCCTAGATCACCACTTCCACGGTCCCCTTCTTCTAGGTCTCCAGCTCCTAGTTCCCCTCTCCCAAACTCTTCGCCTAGTTCCCCGGCAAACACGTTGTCAGCACCCAACTCTCCAGCATCTACCTCTGGGCTGTCGGTGCCAGGTTCACCGCGATACTCCGCTCCAAACTCTCCAAGGTATTCAGCTCCGAGTTCCCCCAGGAATTCAGCACCAAGTTCACCGGTCTCAAGACCACCAGGTTCTCCTCTGCCAAAGCATCCATCAATAGTGGTTTCACGATCTCCTTACATGAATTCAAGTTATTCACAGCCACCGTCCCCACGCCCTATGGAATACCCTAGTGGTAGAAGGCACAGCATCAGTGGTACGCACTTAGAGGTGCATGTTGGCAGCGGTGCATCAAAAGCATCACCCACAGGCAGCATTGGTGCAGGAGCAAGCCCACGGCCAGGTTCTGCTGCTGATTCCCCTGCCTCAATGGAGAACCTGCAGTTACCGCCCGGTCGGGAAGGTGATGATACAACAATCCGTGCTCTACTTCAGCTAGGTCGCATGAAAGCAGACAGCGAACGGAGAACAGTGTTACAGGGAACCAACAGAGCTCTTGATCAAGGAGAACTCAGGTTACCAAGAACTCTTGCAGATATCTCCAGGTTGGACCAGGCTCAGCTGCTAGAACTACAGCACAGACTTAGATATGCAGGTCTACCTAGCCGCTGTTACCAGCAAGAATTTCAGGGATCTCCTAATCATGATGATACTGGGACAAGAAACTCAAAAGGCCATCATTTACCAAAATCCTCATTGAGTCCCAATAGTGTCCAGAGTGTACTCCAGTTACCCTATCAAGGAAATGGACCACCATTGATAAGATCAGAAGGTGTCGTTGGTACTGCTCTTCCTATCACAGCACTGCCATCCACAACAGAAGATGCCCCTCTGAAGATCAGTCGGGTGATTCGCAGTGCTCAGGAACATGATAGCATTGACCACAGAAGATCTCATTCACCTAGTGACCCTCAGCTTAGAATGCTTGAGAGCCTTGAATCTCTACGTAAGACTGGCCAACAATGTGGTGCATCACAGTTAGAAAAGTATGGTAAATACTACAAGAAAAATGGTAGCAAAGCAAGCGCCACGATAGATATGTTTCGAGACCAGTATTCCGTGTTCCAATGCCACTGCTCCAGTACTGAAGTGTTCTTCATCAAGTGTCCTGACTGTGACTTCATCTGCAACAGTATATTTGGCATGGAGCTCCACATAGCTGCCCAAAGACATGGTGAAGTCCGTGGGCCACCGCCACCACCTTCCCGAGATGCAGACTATGCGTGTGATGAACAGTCTTGTAAGGAGAGCAGAGCGGACAGTGAAGCTTCTCACTCTTCATTTGAAACCCAATCAGCAGACACTGAAGCTGAAGGATCAGGCGCTGGATCTCCTCCAAGAACTGCTCAAATGGTAACCTTTTTGTAACTCCTCATTGAGCTTTTTAAAACCAGAAAATGAATTAATATATTATGCAAATATATGCTTTTAGGTATGTACCCCCTGAGCAACCACCCCTAGGATAACCAGCCTCTAGGACAACTTCCCCCTAAGGAAACCACCGTCTGGGACAACTACCCCTAGGAAAACTACTCCCTACGACAACCATCCTCTAGGACAAATATCTTAGGGTGTAGTTGTCCGGATAGCTGTGCTGGGGTAGTTGTCCGTGGGATAATTGTCCTAGGAGGTAGTCGTCCTAGAGGGTGGTTGCCCTAGAGGTTGGATGTCCAGAGGGTAGGTGTCCGGATACGCAAATATATAGTTCAATCAAATGTTAAATATCAGCAATTTTAAAGGTAAGGTACATGTAAGTCATCTGGTTCAGCTACTGCATGTGTTTGTAGTCTATTGTTATGAAAATAAAACCACAAGGAACAGGCTCTGTTCCTTTTAAAAAATATTTAAAATATTTGTCTGTTTATAAAAGTTTTCAACTCAAAGTGATGGCATGTTTAACATGGCTTTTCCATGTGTGCTGATCACTTGTTTTCTCTCCCATGGTTCTCTCAAAACTTTTTTTTCTGTCTTTTAATATAAGCATGTATTCATTTTTGTTTTAAAAATGTTGTCAGCATTTAAACCCTTTCTTTCTCCATTTCTCTTTTTCCCCCTTCCAAATCATGTTTCACTCTGCAGGCCTCTCCAAATGTGTACAGTCCTTTACCTAACAGTATTCCTGAAGCTTGGCGGGAGCAAGTCGCCAGTCGTATGAGATTACAAAGTGGAGTGGTGGACCTTGGCTCTACAGTGCCTCACGTCAACATCCCCCGTCCAATGGCCCAGGGTCTAGGGGAGCACCTACGCCCCCATCACGGGCCCACAGAGCTTCCCAGCCCCCTGGACCTGAGCGGTAAGAGGTCAGCTGAGCAGTCACTTCTTGAGCATCGGGAGAGAAGCGGAAGCAGAGAGAGAAGAAGTCATGAAAGCAACGGACCGCTGGATCTGTCTGGCTATAAACACATCCAGACTCCCAACAGCCAATTTGTGTCTAGCCAGAGACTGGGGTCAGTGGGAAGCGTGATTGAGAAGTCCATGGCTACCAGCGTTCCCAGTCTAGCCCTCTCACAGGCTGTTTCCCAGATAACACCAGGTATGCCAGCCATGGCTGTTCCAGGCATGTCTGTTCCAGGCATGATGTTAGCAACTGCAAATGCTTCTCAGCCACCTTACCCGATCCCAACTATGCTGTACCCCTTGTCAACTCTAGCAGGGACAATACCTCTCTTGACCCCTATCCATTTTCAGTCAGCATCTGCACCACCAAGTCCAAACTACTCAAGACATCTAGAAAGCAGCCAGCCACGTCGCGCCTCCTGCTCCCTAGCTCCACCCACCGAGATTTACTCAAAGAGTGCAAGCCCCTCGCCATCGATGTCTTCACCGCAGGAACAGTCTCGTCAGACGTTGTCAGTACCGCAGCAATTGTCGTCCCACCCCTCACAAGGTCCTAGAGCGAAAGCTCTGAGTTACCAAGGTGGGACAATCACCATCCAACCCTCGGCCTCGAGTCTGTCCTCATCCACCAATCAGAAAACTGTGACCTTGGAGTCTCAGTTCTCTCGCTCGTCCCCAGCCACACCCCAAGGCCCACCCCACTCTCCGCAGACCCCCATGCCAAGCTCACCCGCACCTCTTCTCTCAAGTACAGTCCAAACTCCATCGGTGTGGGTCAAGAGTGAACCACAAAGCGATGAAGAGATGGACAGAGACAACATGATCTCTAGATTAGACAAGGACAAAGACACTCCCAACTGCCAGAATGACATCTCTGAAAAGAACGATGGAAAGGGTGATAAGGCAAAGAGTATAGAACAGAAAGATATAGATGCTGAAAAAGAGAAGGAGAAGGAAAAAGAGCTAGAAAAATTTGGTCTCAGTACAAAAATCCCAACATCTTCATCGTCCAACCGTCTCCCACCTGTTCAGATTAAAAATGAACCTGAAAACTAGATCTAGCTGTTAATAGAGTTTAGGTTACCTCACCATTGTATGAAATTCACCTTCACATTCTCATAAATATAGATTATGCTTACATTCAGGTTTAAAACAACATTGTCTTTCTGAGCTTCAACATCTATATTTTGTTTCCTCTTTGTTTTATAAGGAATGGGGGCCATAAGAATTGCCACAAAGTTGTTCTTCCATTCATCTGTTTGAGCTTACCAATACAATCACCCTTCAATACAATATCATAATTTTAAAACTCAATGCGATCACATTACAGTTGATATTGTTAAAACCACAAACATCTGAAAAGTTGCATTGAAGATGGAAGTGAGCTCAAGATCAAAGATTACCATACAGTCAAACCTGTCCATATCGACCGCCCAAGGGAAACACAAAAAAAGGTCTTTGTAGACAGGTTCCTTTATTACATGTTTCAATGAGAAACCATTTTCAAGGGAAACAAAAAATGTGGTTGTTGTAGACAGGTGGTCACTAACGCAGGTTTGACTGTATCACGACTTACTAGTGGGTCCCCTTGTATGGGTTTTTGGTCTTCTTGAAACCATTTTCCAGTCTATCTCCACTTGTATCTGTTCCCAATTCTAGATCAAAGACGTAGTACGATGCATTGCAATGCCTCTGCTACAGATTTGGCATGTCCGCTCGTGTCCAAAGTCTTGCTTTCTCAGTCATGCGGAATGCCAAAAGAACAAATATATGTTTTCAAGAACGTTGGATTGTTGGTAAGTTGAAAGCAACATCAATGTCCATATTTTCTATACCTGCTGTTTTTAAGATAACTGTGTGATCTGTATGATCTGTATGTACTCCACAGTGAGTATGCTGCTTTCCATACTACATGAAAGCTTTTAAATCTTACACATATCTGGCTCAATTTGTGTGACATGTGCTTACTTGCAGTTTGTAATCGGCATTGTGTCTCGTGATCATTTTAAATGTTACATTGTTGTGATGAACATATATGTATACATATACATATCAATATATATATATGATATAAAATATCTCTATTTTACTGCTGTAGTGTTGTATCTTACTAGTAACTAATAGTTTTACCTCGTTATTATCAATATGCTGCAATGGTATATTTTTTTCTTCATTGTAAATAAAAATGGAAAAAAATTTAGAAAATTAAGCTGCCTTGGAGTTAGTAGCACTGGTTTGCACAGTTTTCATCTCAAAGATGTTATCCTTCCAACAAGATGAACTCCTTAGCATTGCTAAATGTCAGTGAAACAAAATGACATCATCTTTCTCGTGAAAGATATTCTTTTTCAACATTTAATGTGAAATTAAAGGTGCTATTTGTTATTACATGAGGCAAATTTACAAATAGATGTAAATTCCAGAAAATGAAGTTTTGAGATAACTCTGGCAAAATGCAGACCACACAAGTTTTGTTGTCGTGAAAGCGACCACCAATTAGGGTTTTGGAAAGTCTTTTTGAAAGGTTTCCTGTTTTACAGTTCATATATGACCACGCAACTTGAGTTGTGTTCACTTGTGTAAATCAATGCTACTAGCTTTAACCAGCTAGGAAAAAAATGGTACCTCAAAAGAAAAAGAAAATAATGGTGACTTTATTTCCTGCCTCCACTTTGCCTTATTAATTATTTGATGCTCTTTTTTCATCAGGGACACTCGATCATACTCCTCTCAAATTATTAGTTGTGTTCAGCCATGGTTTTTCTCTATGCGAAGAAATATAGTGTCTGTTTGGAGCCAGAATGACATTAACTCATGTGCTCTAAGAGTGTTACGGTCTTACTGGCTCCAAAGTTAAAAGATGACAGGTTGCTAGTTTGTTGAGGAAAGAAAATGGAAGATTCTCCTGGACAGTGGGGAACAAGAAAGCATGTTGTACTGTTGTTGGTTATTGATTTAAAATTATGTCCATCTACTGTACCCACAGAATTATTTTTTTGCTCACGGTAACATCATGTGCATATTTTTGTTATATGCAATTTCATACAAAACTCCTTTTTTTTGCCATACCTGAAATTGTGATGTACATTTCAAGTGATCATGCAAGATAAGGTCTATTTTTCTATTTAGTGGTAAATCTTGTAGTTAGAACAAACTTTGGCACTCTTAATTCAGTTTAAATCACATTTTTAAACTTCAAAAGTTGAGTCCAGTAATTTTGAAACTTGAGATATCATAATATTAATTGTCCATCTACAAAAAAGAACTTATTTCTTATATTCTTTTATACATCAAATCTACTCCATTACAAAGCAAATTTATTGGGAACAATTTTTTATCTTCAAATACATATGATTATTGAGACTATTTAAAATTACCTGACAATACTTGGGGGGGGGGGGGAATCTTTAACAAGATAATACTATCATTAAAAGTTCATGGGTATTACATTTAGTGAAATGCACAGCTGGCAATCTGTAATTAGTGGTAATAATTGTTTTCCAGATGATCTCGCAAAACCTAGTTTCATTGCTTGTCCTGCCTCATAATTAGATATTTTTATTTCATGGTTATTTTTTTATTTCAATTTGGTACATGTGATCAAGTACTACACATCACTTAAACCTAAATAATATGAGTGTACTGAATGCTGCCTAGTCTAATGTTGTTACTCTTGTAAGTATTGTTTGCAGAGAGGGCATGTGAATTGTTCGGAGTGGCTGTGAGGTAGCAGGTTAAAGGTGAAGGGTCATGGAGGTATTCAGCTCATCATAGATGATCATCTTCTGGCATGTGTTACCTGTAGCTTTGGAGTGTTGTTATGAATTGGGCTGTAGTTCCCCGAGATAAGTCAAACTATGTTATCAAATTTTAGACACTTTTAGACAACATTTGACCTCTGTTCTGGCAGACTGTTGAATTCTGCAGTTCAAGAGTTTGAAAATGCTACTTGGTGTGCATTGATATCTTAAACTGTGATACATGTTCAATTAGGTGCCCTGTGCAGGTTCGATGTGACATTGTCCATATAGTTAAGCTCTCTGACCTCAAACAGCTACGTCTATAAAGCCATGGGTACGTTGGTGCAGGTAAACTCTCTCAAGATTTCACTCACTTATTCTCACCATATTCATATTGTTTTGGAATATATGTATATGTAGTATGATACATTGTATCACCAAAACGGGTGCAAAATGATCGCAGATTGTATTGATAATTCAAGATGGCTCGCTATTTCAGTAAACTGCGATATACAGTAAGGGTATATGAACACAGACATTGATTACTTGTGGTTGATTTCTTTTGGGGTCTCATTTAAAAATAGTTCATTCATTTCAATAAAGGAAGCAGTGAGTGACAGGTGGAATGGTTGAACACCCTAATTATAGTAGCACACAACATTGCGATGATAGCAGAGTAAATGATACCTCAACTTGTACAGGATCGTATTGAATGCTTTCAGTATTGTTGTATACCAGTCTTGCTATAACACTATATGCATATATATACGATTGCTGCATTCATGTGTATAAGCTGCTTGATTTTCTGAATCCTATTTTTTATACAAAGTTAATCGCAGCTGGATGAGAGTGATAGTGTCAATGTTTTTGTTTTTTTCTTTTCTGAATTGCATCATATTTTGTTATCCGTTTTAGATCAGTATCCAATCTCTCATGTTGAATTTGTATTCAAATGAATGTGCAGAATACAAATTGCAATTAATACAAAAGGAGAAGAAAAAAAAAGAGTGCATATTCACCATTTTATTGTTCTAGATTTGTCCAATCTTTCTTTGTCTTAGCACCATCAAGTATATAAATGAAAACCCTTTAAAAGAGTTCAAATGCAAATTCTCTTAACACATGGGTTTTACCAATTTCAGAATGCCAGTTTGAGCTGAACTACACATACTTCACATGTAGCGTGTAGATGTAGTGGTTCAACTATCACAGTAGTTTATATACACATAGAGTCCTAGGTTTCTGTTCTGTAGAATTTCTGTAGTATTGCTCGTAAACTCCATTAAGGTACTATTTTGACATGAGGGCATTATCTTTCTTTCCGTCATCTTTTATGAGTCATCTTGTCAGTACATATTCCTGCTTGTAGTTCTTCCTAATCATTGCGTTTCCATCCTCTCTCATGGATTCCAAATCATCGTCTTTTCTTGGCATTAAGTTCGGCGAAAAACGTCTGTTGTGATATGTTGTAGGGTGTGGTAGCGGCTTGGTATTGTTGTCTCTCCGATATCTAATCAGATACGTTGTTGTTTTTTTATTAGTTTTTAAGGCAATTCAGTAAAAATTGACTATTTACTAACCCGGTAAACAATTGTATCTCGTATATCAAGACACTTGATAGATGGATTACATGATCGCAAAGACTTTCAGGAAATCAACCCGAGGTAATTTCAGTAGCCTTATCCATTACCTATTTGAATGTGTAATATTACAATGACGTATTATGTAATTCAAACATGATATTTTTCAAATAGGATATTCAGTAGGATATTGATATTGCCCTTGAGTTGATTTATCGAAAGTCTTTGCGATCTCGTTTGGTGATAAATGCAACTGGTTGTCTAATTATAGATTTCAACCTAAGATGTGGATTGTGTAGAACAGTAAGGGTAGAATAGAAAGGGATGAGGTCGATTCAGATTTCAACCATTTGGAATACCGACTGTCTATTCAATGATGACGATTTGTTGTTTGTGAAATGATCACGAGGCACCTGATAGTAGAGTATTGTGATCTACAATATGACAGAAAACTGAAGAAGAAAAGACACAAAAATACTATGTGATGTGTGAGGTTTAAATGCGATTACATTGAACATGTGCCAACTACTTCTCAAAAAAAATGTTTGATTCTCGTTACACACTGCTTCTTCATGTGTGTGTTATTTATGCGAATGGAAATGGCCATTTTGTGAGGTGCCATGGTTACGAACGGAAAGAATCGCTTGAGCCGATGAAAGAAGACGGAAGAGCGTCACGCTAAAACAGGACTTGTGCACTCTGCTATTCTTAATGCAGACAGCTTACAAATTGAAGAAAAAAAATTAGTGTCTATGCAATAATGTATTTTTAAAAAAATATAGATTCATTGTTCATGTTTATTCCTTAAGTAAAAAGGCCAGTACAAATGTGTTTAAGTTCTTGGTGCATTCTGTAATATTCATTTTTCCTGAGCTCAAGATCCTTCCATATTATCAAGTCATGCTACAAGAACTGTACAGTTGTTGGCATGCTTTCATGCAGTAATATTTTAAATCAGAATTGTACATTGTGCTATGCAAATAAGAAGGGGAGTAGGAGAAAAATGGATGCCTAAAGGGCAAGAAAATTCTGCTATTTCAATCATTATCTTGTTGTGTTTCTGTGCTGTATGCTTTCAATAAGCTCCATATTGTACATTGTTCAGAATATCATTCGTGCTGATTGGGGGATCATTTTGAAGGGAAGTCTACACACCCAGGGTCAAAGTTCAAATAGCTCTGTATTACCCTCCATTGATGTACTATATCATGAATTTGAAGGGGAAAAATACTATTTTCTCTGAAAGTATTGTTGAATGTGGTGTCTTAAACTGCAGCTTTCTCTATATTTACTCACTTTGGTCAGAGATTAACATGCTAGTTGTGGTTTCTATAACATAATTTCTGTCTCATATATATTCAACTTGTTGTGATCAAATGTTCTGTCATTGTTGATAAAAATTGAGATATTATAAATATATATAAATAGAACTATATGATGTTGATTATAAGTAGTTATATTTTTCTTCAAGTATTTTATTAAAGTGTACATATATGTTTTGTAATGTTTTGTTTTTAAGCTAGTGCAAAGCACTCATCTTAGATAAAAACAAAATATAAATGAAATATTGTAATCATTTTTAAAACCTGTGTTATACAATGGTAGCTGTATTTTTAAACCGATCATAGTTTTAATTTGAGTAAGAGATAATTGCATCGTTCTTCATGGGAAGTTTGCTCTGCTATTAAGATCGATACTTGTATGCTCTGAATCAATTATTTGTTATAAGTTTTTCCTTACGGTTTAACATGTTGGTCATGTTTTTAAAAATGTATTTGATATACCCTTGTGCGTTTATATTTTAATGATTGTAACTATCACAAGAATTTGGATCAGGACTGTCCGCTAAGAGCTCAATTTACTCAAAGTTCCTACATAACATACTTCCCAGGCTGTGGTAATGAGTGAAATCCTAATGTTAACAAGCAGATGAGATTGTTTTTTTGTTTTTTTAATCACTTTTAGAATGTTTAACCTGTTTGAAGTGAATAATATGATCTGAAATAGAAATGATAGATAATTGTCACTTAAATCTTGTTATCTGATCTGATAGTATCTGATCCTATTTTCTCTCTCTATCTCTCTCTCTCAAAAAAGAACAAACCTTTAGAGATAATTTACTTTTAATGAGAACCGTTAAATTTGTACATATTTACAATTCGATAACATATGTCAATTCATTGAAATATAGTGAGTGAAATTTGCACTATTTTGGAATCAAATTGAAATTCGGTAAGTTAAACATATCGGTAAATGTATAATGGAGAAATTGATGTGGTTTGTTGAGGGAGAGAAATAAGTTAAACTATGGCATTCCATATTGTGATACATAGAGTACTAGTTGAGACATGCATGCTCATCTTTTAATTGTGCCTTATGTATTAAAAAGAAAATCAAAAAAAAAATTGACACCATGTCTGTATACATGAGGTATATCTTTTGTAAATAGGGGAATATATATATATGAATATATATATTAACAAATCTTGTGCATATGATTAAACTGACCAAAATGAAAGAAATCTGGCTTGCCTCTGTGTTTTTGTATGCAATTTTCTCAGTTATTTGTATCATTTGTTTGGTTGTTTGTTTGTTTGGGGTGTATGGGGTTCTGTGTACATCTATAAGTAAACAGGTCAATTGAAATACCCCTTTCTGGCAGTTCCCCCCCCCCCCCCCCACTCCCACAAAAAAGATAAATAAATAAATAATAAATGAATAAATTTACCGATAAAAAAGTATTAATATTAATTAATACATACATAATTATCAAATATGTTATATTTAAACAATGAAAATAATTTTGTTTAAAGCCCTAGATAAAATGAAAATAAAATAAATGGTATACTTTTAATGATTAACACTTTCCATTACCCTTTAGACAGCCTTTGTTTTTCGTGTTCATTTCAGTTTCGCTCTCTCTCTCTCTCTCTCTCTCTCTCTCTCCTATGTAGCATAGTGATAGTCAACGTGGCATCATGTAATGAGGAAATAAAGTGCTATCTTGTGCATTACTTAGAATTCTATTTAAAAAATCATAAGACACCTTTAAATCCAGAGGATGAAATAAGGGAAGTAAATTGTAATATAATGTTGTGTGATGTGACACCCGGATAATGCAATTGATATCCTACTTCCCTCATTTTAGTAAGCAAAACAGTCGTTCAATTTGATCAACTTCTGCACAATAGATTTTGCAGAAATTTAATTAATTTTTAATCCACGTGCTATTGAAAATACAGGTTTCATTTCGTGACTGCTTTGCATGTGCGCTACATTCAAAGACAGATGAGCAAAAATGGGTCCTCTCTAACTCGGCCACACGACAAAGTACCTCAAGTTACTAGAAAATAGTTTTAAAAAAATTAAAAATTAAGTCAGAAGTTTATCAATATTGCACGATGAAAAATTAGATTGTAGGTATTATTAAACGTGTCCAGAAAGTGAGCAGAGGCAAAAAATGAAAGAAGGTGATGCATTTTGAAAATGCATTCTTGCTGCCTCAATGATGTCCAATATCATTATATGGGTTAGGCCTACATTTTCTGGTAAAGGAAACAATCGTAAGACCTGGTGGAACATTTCAAACAGTGTTTTTGTTAAGTGTTGGCTATTTAGTGTAATTTATTTGGGTCGATGATGAAGAATTCTCCAATATCGTATTGGTATACCAACATTAAATTGTATCAGTAATGTTGATATGAAGTCTTTATCTGACCACAACATAATATATATGGGCCTATGAATGAAACAAAATACACTCTTATCTTAGTTATATATATTATATCTTTTTTAAATATTTTATTGTATACCAGTTATTAGGCCACATGTGAAAAATACATACATTTTGCGACAAGCCTAGAAGCCTATTGATTTCAAGTGACTAGTTGTAAGAAACAATTCTACAAAAAACCTTTCTGATTTATTCCCTTTAAAAGGAGTTGGCTTAACATTCCCCAGCTTATATTAGGGATTTTTAGATTCGCACGAAGACATTGGGGATTGCTACGATCGACGTCCTTTTAATGCACTGCCTTGAATGGACGTCACACGTATCAGTCCACGCAAATCTAAAAGTCCCTATTACTGAATCAATGGGCCCGATTAAGGATGCACTGGGTCATTGGATCTCACATTGAACACATTAAACTGACAAAGTGAATAGGTTCGATGATGAATGATTTGATTCGTTTCGATTTGCTTCATTAAATTGAGGAGTGATCGATCATCCATTATACAATGGATATTACAAAATACAAAGTGCAATATTAGACTTTTCTTGTAAGACGTATTTGTCCCTCAACAAGTTTTCTTGCCTGTATTGTATCCCCTTACACTATAAACATGGCGGACAAAGAAAGCGGACAAAATATACAGTTCCTCAGGTAGACAAAGGAACATCCCTTCACTGCTATTATGTAAAAATGTGTAGAACAGGTGAATATGCATGTGACACATTTTTACATAATAGCAGAGAAGGGATGTTCCTTTGTCTACCTGAGGAACTGTATATTTTGTCCGCTTTCTTTGACTGTCATATTCATAGTGTAATTAGCTCCCAGCGAGGTATAGAGATCCTATAAGATCCAATAAGATCTTTATGGGTAACGAAAAGTGAGCCCTCTGTCGGCGAAAGAGAAAATAGAAGTTAGATGTAGTTTCGGGGGCCTTGATTCAATTGAGCGTGATAGAGTCTAAAAAACTATTTGTTGAACAAAAATAAATAATAATAATAATAATAATGATAATAATAAATCCGAGGAGCGACGGTGTTAACAAAATGTGGTTTCTCACACTTTATATTGCTGAATCCAAAAGTATTTCGTTTGCATCGAGAATGTTAAACTATAGCTATATCCCATTTGCAGCCAACATTGAAATATAAATACTGTAAGCATGACCACGAAATCGCGTACACTAAAGTGGCGTTGTTGTTTTTTGGACGCGGTCCGCCAGTGTTAAAAAAATACGTCAATTTTCCAGAAAAATTGTACTTTTTCAAAATTCTCCTGTACGCGTTTAGGGGCATTTTTCTAGACCCCAACTCCAAAGTGAATACTGTTCGGGAAGCCGGTTGTCTATAACTTTCGGTTACGCCAGCTTGCTAATGTAAAACACATAAAGAAGCCCCTATACTTCGCATACCAGCATTATGTGACATAATATTACGACCGGGGTTTACGACGACGTCATCAGCATGGGAGGGATCCGCAGGAATCCCGGTATAGAATTCTCTTCAACAACAATATCGTCAACAATATGGTCACTCTGGCTGCATCTAAATGGTGATATTAATGACGTCGTGTACAGCGATGAAGATGAATTGTGCAGCTTCCGGGTCAGCTAAACATCTCGAGGCTTTCTGGGGTGCCTGGAAAACAGTATTTCGACATGAGACTCCTTGGTGAAAAACCCACATTCCTCGGTCCTTTTTTATTGATTTAACACTTTTTAAAATGTATCACTTTGTAATTTATTTTATTTATTGATTATGATTTATTTAGGAAAGTCACTGTGATGATATTGAGAGATCATACTCCGTTGCAATGTAGGGGTCATTGTAGAAATATAACGGTAAAGGTGACGTTGTAAATTTATCCTTATGCGTACTTTCTACAAAATAAGTTAAACCTTTTATCTTCAATTAATTTGAGCACAAAACTATGCCTTAGCAATATTATTGCCGTATTGCCGAAAACTATCTCATTCGTGTGATAATAAAATTGACAAAGACATACAAAGAGATAAATCCATGGCCATTCAAATGGTCTATGATACGTGTCTTTGCTTTTATTGGCTACTGGTATTTAGGTGATACTATTTTGTACGAAAATTGACGTTAGTGACCTTTCAGTGCAAGTTACATTTTCTAAATTGAGGAAAACTACATGTAGGTAGTCACTATATAGAGTGGTTATTTTTTATGAAATAGCTGAAGACGTAGAATAGGTTCGTGGTTGGTTTACGTCAAATTGTGCACAGAAATGGTCACGACTAAATTTGTGCAAACGTCAACCCTGTTTACTTAAGCCCCACTGCACTACTTATAGCTACTTGCGCCCTCTATACAGCCAACAAAAATTAGCGGTACCTGTTGATCCCACATGATGCCCTTTTTCTTATGTTAATTGAGAGCTGATTTGATGATAATAATACCACCTGCCAGTGACCTTGCAGGGAGGTCTAACCCCTCCATGCCAAACTAGTTCCGAGGGGCTTTAATTAACTAATAAGAAACATGCGTGATAATAGTTTACATCGCGATTAAGACTCCTTCTTCTCTCGACTTGTCAGCAGCTTGACACCACGGGACACTCCACGGGAATCTTAAAGGAGCATGAGTAATGTAAATGAATGTTCGAAGATACTCCGTCAGAAGAAAATTTATCCAAGACTAACCCTTGAACAGTTTGGAAGACGTAGTCGAAAAGCTCCAAGAAATAAGATAAAAAAGGCACGTGACTAATTATCAACATTCGTTGAATTAACACTTTGGCCGTGTTCTACTCATTCAGTTAAAACAGAGCCCTGATCTAAATTCACGTTTAACAAAGGACAGTCCATACCTCACACTAACTACCTTTCCTAAACCCGATTTTGAACAGAAAATTTTGCCGAACGTCGAGGCAATGCCCTCTCCCTGCCACTGTGGCTTATGATGATGAAGAAGATCTTTATTTCAGTCGCCTCCGCGGATAAAATGCTGCAACTTACGGCATGGCTCTAATTGGCAACATACTTTCAGGTTCTGGAAGAACTTTGCTAGTTCGGCACGGGCCTGCCGGTTCATGAACGTGTAAATCACCGGGTCGAGCAGCGCGTTGGTGAAGGCAAACCACATGGTCATCACACCGAACCAGTGGTAATCGGACACCGGGACGATGTTGAGATGGACGAGGAGGTATGGTATCCAACAGACGATGGTCGTGATCACTAACACAGCACCTGATTGTTTACAAAAGAAATATGGAACTTATGAGTACAACGGAGGCTGTTAATAATAATTATAATCAGTGATAAATTTAGTTATACTACATTATCAAGAACCTATACTTTATAATATAGTAACACCGTACATACGACTGTATAGGTTGAGAGTGTAAAGATATAGGCTTAGATCACACCTTCGTTTGACCACTCTCCAAACCGAGCTGGACTACAAAGTACGGCTGATTTTAGGGGAAAATGACGTAGTAATATTCGTTTTACCCAGCCTTCGACAATGAGTGTCTAATATTTTGGCCTCATTCTTTAACACTATGGCTTGTTTTAAGAGACGAAAAAGTTAGCATCTACCTTTAAAGTAAACTTCTCACATCATTAATGGATTATGATTAGTAAAGTAGTGACGTCAATAAAAATTTGCATACACTGATATAAAATTATTCCTATTTTTCTCAAGACTTGGTGACAGTCTAGACCTATTTGTAGGGGGGAAACACCAACGACCAGAACTTACTAATAGTAGCAACTCTTCTCTGTGCAGACCACTGCCTTCTCCTCGCCCCAAAACTTTTCTGCTTAAAAACTCGCTTCCCTTTAGTTTTTAAATTTGCTCGTATCTTCTCTCCCGTTGCTTTGAAAACATCATCATCTCCTGAGCATACAGCTGCACTGTCGGCGGAAGTGACCCCTTGAACATGTTGAACAGTATCCGGTTCAACAGTGGGGTCATCCTCCAGTGGACGCGAGACTGACGCTGGGGGCGATGTGATTTCTTCGCCGTATGCACTGATGACGGAAGAATCTCTACATGCAGATTTTGTTGGGTCCCTCCGTCGAGTCTTTTTGAGGTTGGTGCCAGTTTTCTTGAGGTTGTAGACAATGGCTGCGTAGAGGAGCAGGAGCAAGGGGATTTCACCCGCGAGTAGGATTAGTCCAGCCGCGTGGAAGACAGGATCGAGCCAGGGTGGAGAGCAGTGCCTGGTGGTCGGGATGTAGATGTATGGTAAGGTCGCGTTCGTCAATGGGAGGATTGCCGCCATCAATGATGTCGCCCATGATATCAAGATGAATACGTAGACGCGTCTTCGGCTTCGAGGGAATCTTTGGGAGAGATTGATGACCAGGAATCGCTCCAAGGTGATGAAGAGGATGAGGGCTGGGATAACGAAGGTGAACAACACAGCTAGAAAACCATTGAACTAAAAAAAAAACCAGAAGAATAAAAAAAAATAATGATAAAATCCAATGATAAAGAATTATAAAAACATGGGAAAATTTAATGGAAAAGTGAAAATATACCTTTCTCAATACCAAAATAATAATTTTGTATTAACTGGAAACATGCGTAAGATAAGAAAAGTCATATATACCAGCGCTATATAAATCTTAATTATTATTATTATTATTATTATTATATCGCCATAGTAGGCCAGGTTTGCAACAGTTACTGTAGACCCTACGCATAACAGGGTTTTGAATGGGGAAACATGTTTGCCAAATTCTTAAATCCAAAGTTATGAACAATTCGGGGATCCACTAAAACTTCTCTGTAACTAAAATAGATGAAATATGAAGTCTTGAAAACGCAAGCTAACAGGTAGAAGTCGATGTTTCTTTTCTCAAATCGTTTTTCAAAATCAAATAAACATGTAATAAGATGTAATCATACAGACATGCTTCATTCTTCTTAGGCCTAAAATGTGTTTTCAAAGTCGGGGAACATCACAATGTGTATCTGTTTGAGAAATGAACAAAATTACTTACATTTTAGGCCATATGAAATCTAAAACTATTATCTACGAATATATATCCATGTACCTTGCAGGCGCTGGTATGTGTCCTGAGATAATTCCCACCATCAAAGACAGATATCATTGCACATGGCATGGTGAAAATGGCCACACCGAGGTCCGCAATATTCAGAGAAAGAATCAGAAGATTGTGGGCGTGTTTCCATAGACTGCGCGTGCGTAGAATGATGAAAATGGCGACACCATTCGCCAAAATGGCGCCCGGCATGATGATGAAGAGACTTGCAATAGAAAAACGGGAGGGAAAATTATGATACCCGCCAAAAATACTTTACTATTCATTATAAATTTATTTTTTATGCTAATAAATGTGTATATAGTGTAACAACATTTTGTGAAACTAACTTAGAGGGTGGAGTTAGATGATGGATATATAGACCTACTTAGCATTGTGTCAGGTTAATCTAAAAGGAAAATCCAAACTTAATAGCACATTGCTCTGAGAGAAAGCAGACACAATTAGAGATTGAAGCAAAATAGTGAAAGTCTGAACGAGATCGGACAAAACAAGAAATATTATTATGGAGGGCAAATGTTGAAAAGCATCATCTCTGGAAAAAAATGTTTACTATGTTAAATTGTTAAACAAAAAAGTATAATTCTTTTTGTGATATAATTATAATTCATGTTTTTTCTTTGTAATCGAGATAATTTTGTATCTGTTATGTATGTATTATTCAATTATTCAATTAATAAATGATGGAAAGAAAAAAAAGAAGAAGAAAGTTATAAATTTTTAGTTTTGCAATCAGTATTTGCAAAGGAATTTCATATTGGCAGAATCGTGGTCATTGTGATGTAGTGGCGGACAAATCTCTCAGAAGGCGCCTAAGAGAGAAAACAAATTAATGACATTTTGTACACGACAAACGGGAGAGTTGTCCGTGACTACGTCACAGTTCACTGACCACATTGCCAATTTGAGATTCGCACAGACGTAGTGATAGCATTTATCAAACATGCAAAACTTTCTTATTATTGGTCCGATTTATTAGTTCAAACTTTCTCCCACTCTTACTTTTTTCCCTGCTTCAATGTAAATGAACTCAAAAACAGGTTTGGTTGGCCGTTAAAGGTAAAGACCAGTTATGGTCATGCGATTGCATTGTGAAAGAAACGTTGTGGAATCGATCAGAAAAGTTTGATCATCTAGCATCTAGCATCTGCAAGGTTCTGGAATCTTCAAAATGATAATAAATTTGGCCCATTCTTCGTAAAGTTACATGCACTATACACAGAAAGATGTATATGGGACTACCCTATATCTCTCACAGACCATGAGAGAAACAAATTTACCAAATATATGAATTAGTAGGCGGTTTCCCGGCAAATTTTTTATCATCATGTATTAGTCAAAACATATTCTTTCACATGATTGGTAATGAGAGCTTCCATTTCATTTTTTGAAATTGGGGCGTTTCCAATACTGGTCTTTACCTTTAAGAATTATACTTTTGCGTAGCAATAATTCACGAGTCGTAACTTTATCGTAGCGTAGGTTTAATAGAATTTGTACGAAATAAAAGCAATGTTAGAGTCATCGAAAAGGAAGAAACAAAAAGTAACTCGGTCTCAAATCCAATCTACAGCGCGCTGCAGCGCTGCAGCTTATAGCGAATTTCCCAATGACACCACCGTATTGCATATCAGGTAACAACGCGGCGGCACCGGCGGTAGTTGTCCTAGGGGTAGTTGTCTGGGGGGATAGCTGTCCTAAAGAGGGTAGTTGTCTGGGGTAGTCGTCCTAGAGGGTGGTTTCCCTATAGGGGTAGTTATCATAGGGGTTAGTTGACTGCGGGTGGTTATCCGGGGGTGGATGTCCAGGGGGTAGGTGTCCGAGTACGATTTTTATATGCCATCGCGGTTTGTAACTAGGCCTACATGATATCTTTCACCCCTACTTGACCTACGTAACAATAGAAATCGGATGACAGAAGATACCGTCATATGACATTTCTTTGCATTAGTTCCTGGTATCTGAATATTGAATACCCCTCTACTAATCTGGTGCTAAACGATGGAATGGCACTCCCCAATTCATAACAAATGCCCAAACAATTGACATTTTTAAATTCATTTATAAGAAGTTTTATTTTTAATTCTATTTTGTAAATATTTATGTCTATTGTACTTGTTCGTATTTTCAAAATTTTGATTATAAAATTATGTATAATACAGTAGCACGTTATGTCTAATGGTACTTACATTTCTGTTAAAAACAAAAAACTATTTTCTTTAATTTTATGTCAACAGTATGCAGTTAAATGATTGTATTTTGAAACTTTGTAAAGCATTTCATATGTTATTTGCTTTTTAATATTAACAGGACCATGTTGAAAAACAGTATACCTGAACATAATTATCTATCCTGTATAAAGATGTTTTAATAAAATAAATAAATAAATAAATAAATAAATAATCTACATCATATTATCATGTAAGAAATCCAATGGCGGCTTTGAGGTTGGCAACAATTTCTTCTTCCTCCCCCTATAAGAGAAGCTATATGAAAACAAGCCTTTGGGAAGAGGTTACACAAAAACATCGCCCCCTGTTTTCCCTCCCTCATTATGTACAGCTGATGTGTTTCCTGTTGGAGGGGGGGGGGTAGCCGTCAGACATTTCTTCTTCTTTCTGTTGAATTTTGAGCATAACCCCCTATAAGATTCTAAAAATTATTTAGGCCTTTCGGGGAAATTTCGACCCCTTTCGGACAGTCCTGAATCCGCTCACGAAATTGTCTAAATATTCCAATCCAACCCGCTCTACCCATTGGGACTTAAGTCTTGGTATCATTAATATTATTATTATTATATATATATATATATATATATTTGTTGTTTTTGTTATCATTATTATCATCATTTTTATTATTATCATTACTACTATTTTGATTATCGAATATCTCATGTCGAGGCTTTTCCTTACAATTACTAAGCTCCAATTTGCTCTATCTTGTATTCCAAAAATAACAGATCACGTGAGGAGACCAGTTGAATCGAGCCAGAATACACATAGGCCTATAGCCATTGTGTCTAGTAAAATTGTCTTCCTTATTCTCAATCAATTCATAACCAATATCAAAAACAATTATAATGATTATAAGATAGGAGACCTTGATGCGTGTATATGCCGATGATCACGAATATCATAATCAAATCATTTTGTTCTATTTTATATCTATTTATTTTTCTTCCGAAATAAATCAAATTTATCACCGAGTTTCATTGTCTTTTACTGGGAAATAAAATCATGATTTTTTTTTATTCATTTACATTTCGTTTTGCATCAGAATACTTTCTTATAAGATCACGAATCTTTGTGCCTTGGAACTGTCACTAGAAATTGAAATGAGGGAGGGGAGTGGTGATAGAGATTTGTCGAAAAGTTTACAACAAAGTGAAAGATACGCAGATTTGCTATCTCAAAAGGAGTCATACAATTTGAGTTCCGGAAAGAGCCCCGAATTCCTCGTTGATCATTTCCCCCCCCCCCCCACCTCTCTAAGCTATACAATGCACTGTAGACGAGAGCCTTTTCTTTAAAATACGATATTTCATAATTTTTCATTTAAAAATTGCACTGAAAAAAAACAGAAAATGTCCTTACCTGAGCGATTCCAGTGCGACAGCGGCAACGCTGTTATTAGAGGATACATTCATGGCTATCGGTTAAACAATTATATTTCCCGGAGAATAACTTCCACCTAAGATGTCCTGATTTTTTTGTGACCTGTCAAACACAAAACAGCAGTTTAACCATACTATTTCCCGGATAATGCTTTAAAACAAAAACTATTGCACGGAGAATATTCTGTAACTATCGCACCTAAGGTCCTGGTGTTATGTGATCTGTCAAACACAAGCAATATTATAGGAACTAAACCTGATCAGTAAAATGAAAGTGATATTGTTTTATTAACACGTGCCCATCCTCCGCTATCATCTTGACTACAGCGTTCACACACGACCATCATAGGCTGAAATTCAGTGGGCTGAATATGCGATGCGATCCGTTTTTTTTTAAATAGATAGTATAGATTCTTTATTTTAATCTATATAGTTTGTGTTTAGATGTGAGTGTCGAGAGTTTTTGTGTTTGAAGCCATAATGTGAACATCACGACTATTGCATAATGTTCATCAACGGTGTTTTGGTTTGGTACCTCGAGATAACGAAAAGAGGCAGTGTTAAATTAAAGAAGTGTTGTTCCCAATCGCCTTCAAGAAGCACAGTCATTATAGACTAATTACTTGCTTCAACACACAAAATAATGATTTTCTGCCTTCAAAACATTTTCATTAATCGCATGGAGAACTGTGGCATATTGATGAAGGCTCTTGATTCTTATACGAAAGGTCCTAGGTTCGATCGTTACACCCAGTGTTTTACCCATATATGCTACTCCCTAACCAGGTGTATAAATTGGTAACCAGTAATGCTAAGGTAATACTGATTGCAGAGCCGGTAAGAAAAGTAGTATGGTGACGTAGATACACTGGTTAAATACAAACGAATTGTTATTATAGTTATAATCATTAATGACTTTCCATCGTGATGATTTTGAGAATTCACTTCATTTTATTGAATTTCTCATTAGTGGTAATTTCCATTTATGGTCCACAAACAAACTTACTTCGGGTATAGTATAACCCTATCAAAGCCAAGAAATCATACCGACAATGTTACGCGAAACATGACGTAGTGTGAACGAGCATGTGCGTCATAATAATGGATACTCGAAACCTTACATGCGAGACATGAATTTTATGGTGCATTCATTGTGGGAATCAGTGAAACTAGATATATGAGGGGTTCTTTATGAAAATCGGGTCATCTTTAAATTTACTGGTATTAAAATATGTATAGCTAACATGCTATAACAAGTAATACATTTATCTATAACAAGTAATACATTTATACTGTAATATGCCAAGTAATATTTTATACCGTTATACTTATAGAGCATATAAAAACTCAAAAGAAGCAGGAAGGTATTTTTCATTTTGTTTTGTTTTGTGTAATTGGGGTCTTAATTGGATGTATAACCCATATCAATAATGTACATTTAGCATGCAGGCCTGATCTACTGGGAATATTTATATTTCAAATAATGAAAATCCGGAGAACTTCCTGATAGTGTAATATAATCTCCTTTTTTTCTCGAGCGTCATGACAGTTCTGCTCATTAACACAAAATTTTTGCTGGTCGATCTTAAATTCTTTCTCGAACAAACATCACAGATCTAGTAGTTGTAGACATACATAATACATAATACATACATAATATATATTATGAATGTATTTGTTAAGACATTTGTTAAAACTTTTTCCACAGTGAATAAACTGAAAAGGGGAATATAGTTATGAACTCATTGCTAGATCTTGCATCATAACAAAACTACTCATGTGAACCAAGTGCTATTATTAATTCCACTTTCACTATCATACCACCCTGTTACTATGCAACCATTGCTATTGATAATACACTATTTCCTGCGATAGAGCAACATGATAGTGAGGATTTCACTTTCAAAATAATTATATCCCACGTATATTCCCAGGCCATTGACCGAGTGTTTTTTTTTCGAAAGGTTTCACGTGCAGGATTTAAAGGTTGTCTTTAGAATTAGTAAGACTAAAAACAGGTAATACAATTATAATAAAGAACAAATTCCATTCAACAAGCATTACAAAGACACGCACATACATGAACACATATAAACGAAATATAAGAGTGGCGATCCTATTTTGTGAATAGGGCCTGCTATAGGAAGGTCTCGTATGAAAGCTGTACGCATATAGACTGTGAATGAAATTCGGTTGAAGAATGTAATATTTTCTTTTGTTATTTTTTGATGTACGGGCCCTCAGACCTAACGAGTGACCCTCCTGCCACAATTTCGAGCGGCATGTGAGGGTAATACTCTCCAAACGCCCCACAATCAAGCCCCCTGGTTACACCCCATGAAGAGATAACACCTAAAAAAGAATCTGTCTTGTTTTGAGTTTTCAAGGCTGTTAAAAAGAACTTGATATCACCCCTGATGCTCGACCAAACTTTAGTATGACCAGTTACTTTTTCCAAATTAGCATCATTATATCACGAAGTCGCCACTTCTGGGCCATGTAGTATAACGCCTTTTAATTAATCGTATAAGGTTAATATTGAGCGTAAGTCTATGGCTCATCTTGTACTTATCAAACTTAAGATCAATCAAAACTTTTTATAAAACGCAACCCAGATTATATATTTCACAATAGGACGCGATGGCACTTCATAATTATAATTGTCTCGACATTCATGACAATATCTTGTTTCTCTGTATTTGTTTTGATAACGCGGGTAATTTGGCGGGTTTGAAAGTATAATCAAAAGTAGCGAGTTTCACAGTAATTATCATTTTGATGAAAACAATTATTGTTTGGAAGATCACGCGGAAACCTCAGCATCCATACAAAAACTAATCCTGGGAAAAATTATCATTATCATTACAGAGCGAGAGGGAGACAAAAGGGGAGAGAGGGTGAGAAGAAAAGGAGGGAGAGAGAGATATAAAGTGCAAGAGGAATAAAGGGAGAGAAAGTGAGAAAGACAGGGAGAGAGGGAAAAGAAAGAGAGAGAGAGAGGGGAGAAGAAAAGGAGGGAGAGAGAGAGAGATAGAGTGAGAGAGAAATAAAGGGAGAGAGAGGGAGAAAGACAGGAAGAGAGGGAAAAGAAAGAGAGAGAGAGAGAGGGAAAGTGAGTGAAAAAAAGTGAGAAAGAAATGGAAACAGACAGACAGACAGACAGACAAGTGGACAGACAGAGAGACAGAGAGAGGGTGTGTGGGAGGGAAAGAGAGGGGGTGGGGTATGATTTTTTTTTTTATTTTTTTTAAATGATATTTTATTTCCTTCCTCATAATTTCACATAACAAGAAATTCACATAACAAGAAATTATCAAATTAAGCAATATAAAACAAGATCTTTGATACAAGACACTTCATGAGTTACATCAATCAATGAACATAGAAAAAAAAGGAAAACAAAATTCTTGCATGTAACAGTGTATAATCAAAATAACAGTAGAGGAAGGTTTAAAGTGTAGATTTTTTTTGTTTTAAATGATATTTGATTTCCTTCCTCATAATTTCACATAGCAAGAAATTCACATAACAAGAAATTATCAAGATATGCAATATAAAACAAGATCTTTGATACAAGACATTTCATAAGTTACATTAATCAATGAACATAGAGGAAAAAAGGGGGGAAAAAAGTCTTGCATGTAACAGTGTATAATCAAAATAACAATAGAGGAAGGTTTAAAGTTACATATTACCATCCTATCACAACACTCTCACACCCCCCCCCCCCCCTCTAGCCCACCCACACCACACCCCCTTTCACACACATAAACAACCATACAAACACAAACACACACTGCATGCAACCTGTTCCCTCAACTCACACCACACAAACTCTTCACCCCCCCCCCCCCCCCCCAGCCCACCCATCTCACACCCCCTTCACGCCGACACACACGCTGCATGCAACCTGTTCCGGTTTGTCCACCTGTACACGAGAGAGAATTAATAATACTAATAATAATAATACCCACATAATACCCACATCCATTAAGGTAAAAATGCATCGATTTGTTCCCATTTCTGTAAGTGCATCCCCAGTTTCCCCTTTTTGAAGGCTATTTTGTATTCCTCGTCTCTGTAATTTTTAAGCATATGTACTGTTTTCTGTACAGATGGCAAAGTTCCTTCTTTTCTAGAAATAAAAATGATATACTTTACTAAAAATATGATACAATTTATTACAAATATTCTAGTAGTATTGCCGGATATTCCCATAAATATGGGTTTCCAATCATCAATGTCAATTTCGATTAAATGTAACTTTTGAATTACCTCCTGCCATAATCTTTTAACTTTAAGACAATCTAAAAATAAATGTTGGTATGTCTCTACTTCTAGTCTACAAAAGGAACAAAAATGGTCTGACTCAAAACCAAATTTAAAGAGCTCTCTTTTCGTATAGACAGCCCCTTGTAATTGTTTGTATTGAAACTCACTATGTTTATTACAAAGCATTGCACCTTTCATCCTTGTGAATGTTTCTTTCAACTCCGTCATTCCAAGATCAAATTGACAGTTGCCATCTGTAACATGTAATGTATACTCTTTTTGAAGGTCTTCAATGAAGTAATCATATAACCGCCTAGATTTTATATCACATAGTTTCTGTAAACGTCCAAATATCATCAATTCTATTTCAAAATTTTCAGTGTCCACTTCCATAAAATCACTTTGTATCCATTCGTTTCTGATTGCTGAAAAGATCTTTTGAATTCTAAGCAAGCTTTTAGTTGCAAAACCCAAATTTAAAAAATGTAAGATCGGTTTGATTGACTCGGTCATTGACAATGAATTGGCGCGCCACCATAGAATATGGCGCCTCCGAAATGACGCCATTTCCGCACACACACACAACACTGCAGCGCCCTTACAGAGACCAGTGACGTCTCCAAAATAGCACATTTTCTCATTCGTCTTCTTCTTCTTCTTCTTCTTCTTCTTCTTCTTCTTCTTCTTCTTCTTCTTCGTCTTCCTCTTCTTCTTCTTCTTCTTCTTCTTCGTCTTCTTCTTCTTCTTCTTCTTCTTCGTCTTCCTCTTCTTCTTCTTCTTCTTCTTCTTCTTCTTCTTCTTCTTCTTCGTCTTCTTCTTCTTCTTCTTCTTCTTCTTCTTCTTCTTCTTCTTCTTCTTCTTCTTCTTCTTCGTCTTCTTCTTCGTCTTCTTCTTCTTCTTCTTCTTCTTCTTCTTCGTCTTCGTCTTCGTCTTCTTCTTCTTCTTCTTCTTCT